AATATTGTTTCACAAAATTGGGGCGAATTAACTGCTCTATATCAAAAAATGTCATATGAAAATTGCAAAAGTTTTTAAATTTTTGGAGTTTTATGTTCTTTGGAATATCTAATTCTTGTTAAACAATGTTTCAAGTGCAAAAATTATTATTAAACTGGAATATTGAAGCAGCTTTCGTMATTCAAAAGTGAACATTTAATTTTTTATATCCATACATTAGCGTACTAATATATTTCCGTCGAAGTTTTGCGAGTACTCACGAACAGTAATCCCCCTTAGGCACGCATCTACAAATACACATTGAAGCTTGCGCATAGATATGCAAACTTCGCAAATATACTTCATATGCAAATCAACTCATTTAAAAGTTATTGTAATTTACAGAAAGTACGTGCTCACCACACGCCTGCTTGCCGCCCCCCTCTCCCGTACAGACAAGTGCAGCAAGCAGCGCTCACGGCTTACGAGTCCCATACACGCAGCACGTGTTTCTAATATCGTAATTTTGTCACTTAATTAACCGAAAATGTTGTTACGAATTTCCTGACACACGCATATACATGTAACTGTGTGTGTGTGCAGGCGACGAAACCACCAAATGACAGTCAAATTATATGCGAAATGAATGAGATATTCCAATCTTGGCTGTGGCATCAAGAGCCTGCACTCCCCCCATCAAGCGCCTAACCTCATATGCCAYCAACGCAACCACGAATTTGCATATCCTCAGCAAGCGAATACAATACAGACATTTACCATTCATAGTATGTGTATATGTGTAATTATATAAGTATGAGCATAGCTGTGTGTTTGGCTAGGGCTTTTTCGTTAAAATCTGGTAATTTTCAATGGTAAAACTGCAAAAGTGAGGAGTGGCATACATTTAGGCGCCGCACCAAAATCGCTTACATAGTTCATTAGGCTTAAYACTGAGTTAGAGTGCTTGAAATCCAACAACAATGGCAAATTCAGCAATTTATTGTCATTTTGTATAACCATTCAAGCAGTGAATGGCGTCTGAAGTGTGTGGTGCTATACTTTTTGAAAAGGTGGAAGGCTTGAGTTTGTAGCAGTCGAAATTACAAAGAAATGTAAATTAAATATTGCGCAATATTAAAGGATTTTTTTGTTGTTGAACAATAATATTCTGATGCATACTCACAGCAAACAGTTGTAGTGATAGCTCTAGCTCTTAATCACTTACGTTCAAAAACTTATTTAACAATTAAATTTGAAGTGTTTGAGAAGCCTTTGAAGCGTATTTACAGTTTTGAAGTGATTGAATATTTATTTTTTCTTAGTATTAGCTTCAATCTCACTTTTAGTAAAAGCACAGCTCATAATGCAAGTTGCACATACAAATTCCGCTGCATATTTTTAGGTAACAACCGTGACTTACAGTAGTGGCTGTAATGCCTTGATCGCTTATTCTCTACATATCGTCACCTAAATTGCAAAATAACGAAAGATCACTTTTATTAAGTTTACAGACGTTGCGCTCAGCACTTAATTTGTTAAGGCTGGTTTTATCTACTAATACTATAAAAAGAATTGATTTGTTTGAATAGAAAGCGAAATGACTATAACGTGTAAGAGCAGCTTTCGTTATTTCCGGTGATAAAAGGCTATATACGAATTACATTTTCAAAGAAGTTTGGAATTTTTACAATACCGCCCATAATAWAAACCAAGGTGTACAAAATTAACACAAAAACGCTTTTCATCGCATGCGCTGTGAAAACTATTGACCATAGTATATGTATATATATTCCATACAGGGTGGCTGATGAATTTTGCTACATTAAGAAACTCAAATAATTTTTTTTTTTCAGTTTATGGAATTCATTTTTCTTTTATTCATGTTAAAGCTCATTAAATTTTATTAAATATAGTTTAATTAGTTTTAAAAATAATGGATTTCAATAGTAAGACTTTTTAATTTAAATTTCGCTTGAAAACTCCTTCGTCAAAATACTTTTTTTGCTGGGTTGGTATGATCGTCAGTGATCAGAGCCAAATTTCACATCAAAATAATCATTAGTCTTTCGTATCCGCTTGCCTGTCTAAAGTACGTAAAGTACGTTCGGCGATTTTCACAATGAGCGAAATTATTCAATAAAGATGTTCCACTAAAGTGGGTGTGCGGAATCAAATGTCTGTTGCCGAAATGGTCAGAATGTTGGAAAAGGTCTTCGATGATTAACAGTTACAGATTTTATTGAAGGATCAGTGAAAATGATTTTGAAACATCATTTGAGCCTAAGAAAAGAGAAATTACCGAAATCCGAAACCGACGATCAATCGAAGAAACTACGTCAAAGCAGGTCAAAAATCAATTTCCTGTAGACAGTTTTCTTCGGTTATCGAGATATTTTGCTATCCGAATTCCATCCTACCGGGCAAAAGTCAACAAGGAATACTGTTGGAGTTTTATGCGTCATTGGCGCGAAGCTTTTCGTAAAAAGAGGCCAGAATTATGCGTCGAAACCATCGCAGACTGCATTGATTCTTCGTGAGTTTTCCGCCAAATTATCAAACAATATTTTCAAAACTACTGAATTCACCTGATTTAGTTAGAGGGGACTTCTGGCTATTCAGCAAACTCTAACGACCACTCCGAGGAAACCGTTTTGAAAAAACTGAAGACATCAAACGTGAATCGCTACGCACCTGGAATGTTACTCCGGATATTGATTTTAGCTTAACTGTTTCAAGGATTGGAAAAACGTTGGCACAATTGTATTGGAGCCAAGGGAGATTATTATTGTGCATATATTTTGAATAACAAGTTAAAAGTTTTAAATTTATGAACAAAGTCTTACTATTTGCTCATATTAGTACCTTCAAGTGTATAAGGTTTTAAAGTTATATGGAAAATTCCAACAACACACAGGCTTAAATAGTTTTTGTTTTATTGGACAAACTTCAAAAGCACTATTTTGGCGAAGCTTTATCCCGTCATATAGTATTAATGGTGCTTTATTTTTACTGGAATGTGAAATAATCAGATTAAATTTAAACTTGTGCTATACCATATGAGAGATAGGCGTGGTTTAGTTCGTTGGTTTAAATAAATAGAACAGTTTAAGAGATGTGTACTTAAAGCATTTTAGCGAGTGAGTCACACCCACTTTATAAATGTTCAGCCCACTAGTGCAACTTGCTACTGCAATTTTATATCTTTTTTTTTTAGTGCTTAGATATGGTACTTTATAGGTTTTCGTTTAATGACCTTTTGTAGGCGTAGCAGTTGTCTAATTACGCCCATCTACGAATTCGTATTTACTGTTTTACCAAGTAGCGATGCGATGAAGACCACATATTTGACCACTTCCTTGTCGTCCTTATCCGCCACTTTGCCGCCTGGGAAGACTTTGTCTAGTCTAACTTTGTCTTCCAAATAGATCTTTTTTCCAAAGAGATATCCTTTTCGGTTATAAGCTTTAATAAGAGGCTTAGAAAAGCGTCGTTAATTTTAGAACCAAATATGTACATGTTTAGAAACCCAAAGAGACCTAGTCCGCGACGGTAATGACCTTGTAGCGTCTAAGGGTTTTCGAGGAGTCAAAAACCGAATGGGTATCGACAAATTGTCCAACACGTTGCTTGAAATTCGTTGGCATAAGTGTATTGCAGAGGGAGGGGATTACTTTGATGGAGATGAAATGGACAAAATTCACCTTTCAATTTGATCACAGTAGCATAACAGAAATTCACTTTAGATGAGAATTTTATTTAGAGCGTGTCATGCAATTCTTTTTGATCGGATCGATTTGCTGACTGATTTAACTCTCTTCAATAAGCTTATTTAATCAGAGACACTAAAACCTTTCTACTGAACCGGTTTTCTAAATTCTAATGAACGCCGATGCAATTGTAACTGGTTTCACTAAAATAACTCGCATAGCTAGACGAAATTTGTAGAGACCATGCCCTAAACTTTATGCCTCATTGAGAACGGTAGACAATTGAGAAGCAGATTTCTCTCTCGACTAACAAAATTTACGCTCTATTATGGGTCTATGAAATAACTCATACGAAATCAGTCCCACTTTTGAAAACGAATTAAGTCCCACCAAAATGAAATGAAAAATTTACTTGAAATGAAATAACTCCCCCTTGAATAATATATTTCTTAAATGAAATAAGTCCCACTTTTTCACTGTTTAATGCGATTTCAAATAAGAAGTATTTGGCACTTCGAAAATAACACACGTCGAATAATATGAATAATCAAAGCAGAGGAATAATAAAGAAAAATCGTATGCAAGCTTGCCTACTACGCCTACTAGTAACAACGTTTGGATTCATAAATGGATTAAGTACAGATCAATTGTTCTTATTATTAAGATGGAACCGTTTCGGAAGGACCATCAGATTAAAATTATCGACCTTTATAAATGGCTTGAAGATCCAGTGCATGGTAGACAGTATTATAGTTTTAACGTGGCATTTGGATTAGTTGTATTTTGTAATGGTGATATTAGAAAACATGGAACACGAATTCCAATTTYCTACTAAAAAGATAATAAAAGACATACATACGTAATTATGTCAACAATTTTTTTTAATGTTGTTTTGCCATTAGTTAAGTTCTGTACTTATTTGTACACATTTCTTTAAAGTTTTTTTATTATAGTAAGTATAAAGTAATTAATAACAAAAAAAGGAGAGCCATGAGAGATAAGGACAAAAAATTATGGTTGTCCCATTTACGAAATGTCCGATATAGAACTTTTTGCATAAGAAAAAAATGAGAAATAAAGCCATAATGGCCTTATATTTCATGRCTCTATCGCACCCCTCCATTAAAAAAAAAAATCATTTATTTATCAGAAAAATATTTGAAGGGTTTCATGAACTTCTGCACGACCGTATGGACGTACTAGTTTACTGGTTTGATCAATTTTGTGAGTTTGTATTGTAAGACAGCATTCACTGTAAATTTTCAAGTGCTTACAAGGAAAAAATAAGATATTTGGCTGCTTTATGAAACAAACCACACACATATTATTATTAGTTGTATTCTGGTTGCGTTCAATATGGTTTAACGACTCGTCTTCAATGTCCTCTTCCAAATATGACAATTCTTCAAAAAGATCTTCATCAGGCTCCAGTTGTTCAAGGAATTTAGAAGGAGTTATAGTACCTTGTAAGAGATCATTCTTGAACTTCGAAGTCATATCTGCTTTCAAAACACAGGACTTTTTAATACGCTTTTTTCCCACACTACCATTGGTATTCATCAATAGTTCAAATTTTCTTACTTTTTCAAATTCTTGTATAAGTAAAAATAAAGAAAAGTTTTGTGTTCTCTGCCCAAAAAAACCGGCCCCCGGTTCTAGCGGCGAAAATAAGAAGAAAAACCTTAAAATGACCTGATAATTGGAGCACACTTCTTTTAAATTTTAAGAAAATATATTGTTAAAAGTTCTTTTTTTCTCTCTTGCACTTCTCTTCCCGCTTTCGGCCATGCTCTCAAGTAGAAAAAATCGCAATAATAAACAACAAAATTTTCGGCGATTTTAATGCAAAAACAAACAGATTTTCGACTCACTAATCCARCACGACCAGTCGCAAAATGCCAAAATAGCTTCGGCATCCAACCACAACAAATCGCTTAGCAGCATAACGGTATTTTGCAATGCTGCACTAGCTTTGATATCATCAGTATGCATAAGACCAAGGAGCTACGAAGTAGACGACCGCAACAATGTCACGTGATGAGCTCAAGAAGCTCGCATGAATACGACAATACATGCGTGTGCGTGTTGATGTTTGTATTCGTGTATATTTTCGAAAGCATTGCCAAACGAATTGGATGTTATTTGCTTAGTTAAGTGTTGGTGAATAAGAATTTATTAATATATGCATATATTGGTAGCAATGTGCGAGTGTGTTTGTGTGTGAGTTGTTTCGAAGGACGACAATTGAAGTTGCCTTTAGCGCTTACGCAATTTCCATCTTGTTTTACTTTGGGATTATTTGTGATTTATGCGGCATTCGAGATGACATGCAGATTTTTTGCTATGAGTAAGCTTACAAAAATCTTCAGAGAACAGTCCGGTGAGTGGGGACACTTGATACGAAGTGTTTGTGGTTGACGAAGTGGAAACTGAAGTAGAATGAGGAATAAGGAATGGGAATGTGAATTTGAGTTGTAAGAGGAGTGATGTTTGTAGAAAATATGATAATTTTGCAAGGTTGACAAGGCAGAAGGACAGTTAAATTCATATTGTAAGATATGGATATCTTAAAAAATGGATTATGGACACACTAACCGCTAAGATATCTAAAAATAATTAATACTTGTTACCCTTACTCTTACCACATCATTATTAAACTGGGAAAGAGTGGGTGTTCGACTGACTTCCTAAATTTCACCACAAGATCTGTAGGTCTCGCATGAGCTCATACTCCTTGCCCAGTGTGGTACGCAAGCGGTTCAATGAATTACGAAACCTCAGAAAAGCTTACCTCTCCATAATTCTAGAAGTTCTAACTGGACACTGTCCTATTGGTGCACATAAGGAGAGATTAAAGCTTTTGGTGGACGCAAATTTGAGGTGGTAAGCGAGGAAACATCTATGCACTTTCCTTTCCATTGTTCAATTTGCTCTATACTAAGGTTGTGAAATATCGGTCCATGAATGATCTCACTTTCGTATATGCCATGTTGAAAACTTGAATCYTCCAAAAGCTTAACTTCTTCTCCTGAGCATCGTTTTCTACGAGCCAAACGAACTGGCTGAAATTTATTTAGCTGTCTTTTATAAATTTGTGGCAGATTCATAGTGCTTTGTTGATATGGGACGATTCACTTTATCCATATTTGTAGTTCTGGACATCCGAGAGGACCGGCATAGAAACCAAACGGAATCATTCATGGCTTCACAACGAAGATTAGTTAACAATTATGATAACCTACCTAGTGTTTTCTCCTGTTGTTTATGTCCAAAAGTTTTGGAGTTCGGATAACTAAGTTTTTAGTAAACATGCCTGCTTTTTTTCGACATATCAGCTGCTCCTTCGAAAACTGTATTAAAAATATCGGAGGGTTTGTCAGGAAAGTAATAGGACTGAGTCGATTTAAATAAATTTATTGAACCTATTTTTCCAAGCATTGAAGGCGTCACGGAAGGCATTTTCCTGAATAGCCTTGAGAGCCGAGATGCATGCTACTTGGATTATCTCTGCCGTCTTGCTTGCCTTCTTTCATTAAACTCTTCAGGCAAGGAAACAAAAAAAAACAAAAAAAGGGCGGAGGCCACATGTTGTCTGTAGGCCGGCTGCGGAAGCGTTGGGATGCTGGCCTTGGTTAGGTAGCTGTTCTTGACATCTTAGCTACCACGTAATGGGTAAGCCTGCTTGATCATATAAAATGTCTCTGTCGCATATTTACCGCGTTTCATACAGAATTTATTCGCGCACCTCTGCTCTAACGAACGCTACATTTTCGGCTTGCCCAATCACCGAAACATGTCGCGCGAAAATATTTGCCTTGAGTCTCCAGGCGCTCGGAGACAACTGACCAGCCGCTTTTTCGTTAGCTAAAAACGCCCTCTACCGAATCCAGTCGGTGCGCTCACGTTCCGAAATAAAGTCGCGGCGGAAGAAATCAGTAATCACCATGTTATTTTTATATTTCCAAACTAAGGGCTCGTTTCAACGAAATCTTATTTACAAGTACGTAGGAGGGCCAGCTCAGCTTACCTCGTCTTACATTAAGACAATTGTATACATATAGTACATATGTACATATATGTAAGGATAGTCAGAGTCAAAGGACAGTTTTCGAKCATCAACTTCCTGCCTTCAAATGAAGCCGTGAAGACAATTGTACCATAAATGAGCCAATATGGCCTGAAGTCAAAGTGTGTAGGAAGATAATAATAGCAATTTGTATGAGTGTGTACATCCCAGTTTAATTAAATAAGTGTCTAAGTCGAATTGTATTTCAAAGGATGTGTGTGCCTTGGGCACCGTCTTCAACTAAATGACAGATCTGCGAGCTCATATATTAACCTTGAGAACGGTGACTTTGCTGTGACAAAAGTGTTTCGCCAAAACTACGTAGAGATTTCTCCTGGTAACTCGTATACGAGTATATCTGTTTATATCTCTGAATATATATATGTGTAAGTGGGAGTATATATACAGTTATTTGCGCAGAATATATGAATTCATTACTTGTCTACGCAGTAAAGCTATTTATTTGTGCACAAAACCAACCAACTGCATTGCGCAAAGAATTAAAAGATTTCTCCAGTTGAAAGGGACATAAACACGGATTTACTATTAAAGAAAATTAAATAAATTTGAAACGGAAATATCGCAATTCTTCGCTTCTTTCTAGTTTTATTAGTTCAGGGTTCAGGGTTGCCTCACAAGTTTTGTTTCTGTATGAGTGTGTGCGTGTGGCTGTATATATATGCAGGTATATATGTATTTATGTAGGAGGCTTAACTTCCTGTGAGTGGGTGGACGCCAGTACTTTGTGCGTTTATTTCAATGGCAGTGACAGTGAAAGGAGAATGGCAGTGAATGAAGTAGACACAGCAACTGTAAATAATAATGGAAATTAGTTTGGCAGAAAGTCTGTGAGAAACGGATATATGCACTGATCCATGATGGTGTAGAATGTTAATAAAACTTGTAAGATACTATATACATATGTATATTACAGTGGTTTGAAAATGAAAGATATAAACAAGAAAAAAGTTAACTTCGGTTACACAGAAGCATTTTTTTCGCTTAAAGGGTACAAAAGAAATTTACCTTGATTTTTATCGGAAGGTTTGTATGTCCGCTATATGCTATCGTGGTCTGAACTGAATAATATCTTTGAGGGTTGGACAATAATCCATGTCAAATTTAGTGACGATCCCTTGTCAAGCACACATGTTTTCTCTACAAGGACTTCGTTCGAACAGTAAGTTTGAAGGCCATTTATATGGAGCACAGATTTAGCTATCCGATGTAGGCCGTTCCATCAAATCAGCAGAATAGAACATATGCAAAAATGCTGGTAGGTTAGGTTAGGTTASATGGCTGATCGAAGATCGCACGTGGACTRGTATATGCATCTTTTGTGAAGTCATAGAAAAGAAAAACTCCTTTGTTCCAACTTATATATTAGCAAACGCTTAGTAGCCAATGTAAAATTGCAYAGGCATTCAGTTTCCATTCCCTCCAGTTCGGTGGATTATCTGAAGGTATACGCTCCCAACTGTTTAAATCTTAACCTCTCAAACGTGGGACAGTCATGAATGAAGTATTGAGTTATATCCCCTCATMTTCTTTTATACAGCTTCTGCAAATGACCTCTGGTAATATTCTCGACTTAACAGCATAGACGCCAATAGCGYAATGGCCTCTTAAAAGTTCCACAACTAGGGAGASGTTAGCCTTACTGAGGGCAAAGAGATCACTAGATATCCTGCGAYCAAAAGGCTTTTGCGASAGCGCGTGTACCGATGGCGACTCAACACTGGCCAAGCTTCYGCAAAGTTCAGCTATCTAATCTATCTAGTAGTAGAACACAAGAGGATACGGGAGTATCGAGCGGCACCSATTCTACCGATGGCGATTCTAGAGTGTCTTTCCTTGCTAGCTCATCAGCTTTATAATTTTCTGCGATCCCGCTATGGCCCAGCAACCATACCAGCCTTATCTCAAAGACACTCGATGGTATTGGTAAACAGGTTAGACGCTCCACGACCAACCCTAAATACACTGTAAATGACTGCTATCTGAGTGAATGTTCACTTCTCTGAAGGAAGCTGCACTGCCTTAATGCTGTCTCTTATACACATCTAGATGTGTATAAGAGACAGGTCTTAATGGCTACAACCTCGGCTGATGGAGTTGATAGAGAACTTCTGACAGTAAACTCTTCCATCAACCCTCCTCTCTCCACCAACGGCTTCTTCCTAGCCATAGTTCCCTCGTCGGTATGGGGCAGAGAAGGAGCTGCCAGACTTCGGTTTGGCAACTCCACGAAATATCCCGAAAACTGAGAGGTCAGAGATCACCCAAACCTTGTGCTTGGGGCAAGCAACAAGAAATCAGGCTTCTTAAATTCCGTGAACTTAAGTAATATCTATGCAGAAGCACTTTTTTACAATGATTATTATTGCAGATTGGTTATCAAACAGTTGAAACTCTCTGAAAGTTTTAGACC